GGAGGCAAGAGAATCACTTGAGCCCAGGAGTTGGAGGTTGCTGTGAGCTGTGATGCCACAGCACTCTACCCAGGGTGACAGCTTGAGCCTCTGTCTCAAAAATAAATAAATAAAGAAAATGTCACCAGATACAAAGACTTCAAATTCTGAACTCAGTGATTATGCAGGGATCAATAAAACTATACCAGCTTTTCCTTCTTTCCCTTAATTTTTCTTCCCCACTTGTTACCCTTCATCAGAAGATTTAAAGAAGTAAAACAAAAAATCATCCTCAGTCAAATAGTTTTGTACCTCAGAAGGTAAAGTAAAAAGTGGCATGAAACATGAAATTAATTTTTGGCTATTGGTATGTTTTGTTTATTCATGTAACACCCATTCCTCATTTCATGGATAAAGCAAGAATTAGCAGCCATTGTGATTTCCTTCTACACAGAAGCAAAGCATCATTTTTAATTTATTTTGAGAAACAGCAGAAGTGGCCACTACTTAAAAGAGAGACTAAATGAGGAATAAGAAAACTTTAAAGCCAACTGATCACTTTTCTCTTTACTGGATTTCTGCTTTAAAAAACAAACAAACCAGGTGGCACCTGTGGCTCAAAGGAGTAGGGTGCCAGCCTCATATACTGGAGATGGCGGGTTCACACCTAGCCCCAGCCAAAAACTGCAAAAAACAAACAAACAAACAAAAAAACAAACCTGTCTCTACCAATTGATAACCACCTGCCCTCTCTTTTAAATATAGCAGAACTTCCTGTAAGTTGACCAGCCAAGGAACTGCAACAAGCTGGTCAACATAGAGAGGTGGTCAACATAAGGAACTAGGCCTTAGTACATGTGATGCACATCTGGTCTATGAAAATTAGGTCAACTTAAGGAGGTGATTAACTATGGATGTTCTACTGTATTTTACTCTTATCCTTGTGGTTTTGTCTAGAAGATATTCAGCGCATGTGTCACAAATACCACTCTCATGCCTTACGCCAGCTCAGCTGACATACATTGCTAATCAATAATCAAACAATTTGGGGCTGACTTAGACATGCCTCAGAATCTTTTCTACACAGCATTCCAAGTAGCCATCACTGATCAATTAGAAGAGACAAGGGAAATAAACCTATTTTCTATTCTGTTCTAGAATGGTCTATAATAATGGAAATGCATTGTCCAATACAGTAGCCACTATGAAGGAATTAGATTTTAAATTTTACATAACTTAAAAAGCCAGATGTAACTTTAAAAAGCCAGATGTAACTAGTATGGCATGGCTCTAGATCAGCAGTTCTCGACCTTCCTAATGCACAGCCCTTTAATACAGTTCCTGTGGGTCATGACCTACAGTTTGAGAACCGCTGCTCTAGAGCCTCAGTCAGATCTGGCTCAATCTTATGTGTACAGACTTATAACTGGTTAAAGTTTACTCCAAGGATATTATGTCTACATTAAATATCTGGTGTTTCCTGTCAGCTGCTCACGTTTTCCCAAAATGGGGAGAAGGAGTCATTGAATTAAAAGGAATCCAAGCATCAGTTCTGGCACTAGGGAAGACAGAAGGGCAGGGAAA